TAAGTATTGTCACACAGTAAAAACTTTTCTTTTAGAATGCTGGCCACAAAAAAGTTTATTGAATTCGAATTGTTTATGAAAATAAAACTGTATACTTTTTAGAATTTTACTCATTTTTAAATATGGAGTGGACGCTTAAAGAAGACCATGTTGCAGTTATTGCGTTGCATCGTTGCGGTTACGCGCCAATTCAAATTTTTGACGTACTGAAAAATTTTAATATAACCAAGATTCGTTTATCGCACCATCAAACGATACAATGAAGACTCTAGTGTAGATGACAGGTCAAGAAGTGTTCACTCTCGGTCTGTTAGGACTCCAGCAGTGATAAAAGCTGTGAAGACGCGAATTTAAAGAAACCCCAAACGTAAGCAGAAACTGTTAGCCCTTCAGATGGAGTTAAACACAACCACCGTGAAAAGGGTGTTAAATGAAGACTTAGGGCTTCGGGCATATCGAAGAAAAACAGGACATCGTTTGAATGCTCGTCTAATGGACCTGAGACTGAAGAGATGCCGCGCTTTGTTGAAGCGGTACGCGGGAAAAAAATATCGGGAAATTCTTTTTTCTGATGAAAAATTGTTTTACCGTAGAAGAGAGCTACAACAAACAAAATGATAAGGTGTACGCACACAGTAGTGAAGAAGCGAGCAACCGTATTCCGCGTGTCCAACGAGGTCATTTTCCATCCTCGCTCATGGTATGGTTGGGAGTTTCTTATTGGGGCTTAACAGAGGTACATTTTTGTGAGAAAGGTGTAAAAACGAATGCAGTTGTTTATCAAAATACAGTCCTGACGAACCTTGTCTAACCTGTTTCTCATACCATGTTCAATAACAGGCACTGGGTATTCGGCGTCAGCTCATAGAGCGAAGAGCACACAAGACTGGCTGGCGGCGCGTGAAATCGACTTCATCCGGCAAGAAGACTGGCCGTCCTCCAGTCCAGATTTGAATCTGTCAGATTACAAGATATGGCAACACTTGGAAGAAAAGGCCTGCTCAAACCCTCATCCCAATTTGGAGTCACTCAAGACATCCTTGATTAAGGCAGCCGCCGATATTGAGATGGACCTCGTTCGTGCTGCGATAGACGACTGGCCGCGCAGATTGAAGGCCTGTATTCAAAATCATGGAGGTCATTTTGAATAAACTATAGTGTCATAAGAATCTATGTTTTGTTAAGTTCATTTTGGTATATAAATGGTTACATAATGAATAAACTTGTTTCAATTATTTTATATTAAACATGTGATAGAATTTATGACCTGACTAGGTAATATGCAATTTGGGTACAGATGATAAACCAGGGTCACATTGGGTAGCTTTATATATCGATACGAATGACGTTGGTCAATATTTTGATTTATATGGACGAGCACCTGTACGATATCATCTAGAGTTTTTAAAAAGGAATTGTAAAAGATGGAACTGGAATGTTGATAGGATTCAGAATGAGTGGATTTCAGTTTGTGGCGAATATTGCTTAATGTATTTGCTATATAAGTTTCAGGGATGTTCAATGCATAGTTTTACGAGTATATTTACAGGGAACATATTATACAACGATATTTTAGTGGATGAGATGTTTTACTCCTATTTTATAGATAATAAGTAATAAGATTTTGTATTTTATAAATAAAAATTTTAACAAAATTAGGTAATGTGTTTTATTGTTGATTCAGATTAGTGTAGATAGGAACAAAGGAGAACAATAGCACCACGCTGAGGAAGAATAGATAATGACGGTATTCAATGAACAATAGATAAGTAGATAAGAACAATGGAGCGCTAATGACGGTGGAGGCCTTCACCGGATATCAATTAGTTAAGAGTTAATTGATCTGCACATCTCCGGAACCGTGCATCCTACCCAAAAATGGACCGCAGATTCGTGATCAGAGCATGCCAAAACCTTTTTTTTAGGATCGTGAGTCGACGAACGTCGTACTTGTACCACTTCTGACTCAGTGCGCCAGAACTGGTACAACGTAACTACTATTACCTACTAGATTGTCTACTTGTATCATTAACCCAAATAAAACGGTTCTAGTAATGTTCACACAAAAACTAATGCTGAATAACGATCAACTCTCAAGTCTCTTCAGCACAAAACTCCAGCTATCCTCTGAGGTAAAATATTTAGGCCTTACCTTGTACAATAAACTGAACTGGAATAAACACATATAAAACAAAATCAACAAGGCCAGTATAACTTTCTGACAATGCAAAACCATGATAGGCAGACAATTGGGTCTGACGCCAAAAATTATACTGTGACTATACAAAATCGTGACTCGGCCCATGATTACATACGGTGTTTTGGTATGGTGGAGAAAGACAAATAAAAACACCACCATTAAGAAGCTTCAGCATTTCCGGAGACTGGCATGTATGGCCACGGGCTGCGTAACTACACCAACAGCATTGAATAAAACTAAATATACGAGCTTTATCGCGTTTTACTAAAGTATTTTAACAATTTTTTTTTAAATTCCCGATGTTTTGTACAGCACCCAAGGCCACGGCGGGGGGGGGGACTGATATTTTCGACGTCGCAATGTCATAGCTCCTCTACACGATGGGCCGGTGTTGGCCCAGCGAGATGGCCATGCGATGGTTGAAATGCAACTACACGATGGCGACATGCAGTTGTGATTGAAACGTTTTTCGAGATGGACATGGATGAATTAGCCGGTGCAGCAATATATCTATACAACACGTACTTTATGTGCACAAGAATAGAGTTATCAAAAAGAAAAGTCGTAGAAGAAGATGGTGGATGGTTATCTATCTATCATAATAGAAATACATATGTTCTAAGTGAATTTAGTTTCCTTTAAACAAAAATAATTAAATAATTATAATTAATAATTAGTAAATAATTATTTATTAAATAAAACAAATAAATAAAAAATAAATTATGTATATCTTCTGATTTAAGTAGCTCTATGATTAAAATTTTATAACTTCATTATGAGGCCACATATTCGTCATTTTTAATTCGTTAATTAATATTATAAACAATATATATTATATATTAATAATCAAAGCACGAATGTCCACACTCAACCGTCGGCGCGCACAACTGTGAAATGGGCCACGTGTAGATGTGTAACGACATCGCTAGCCTATTACCTTTGATGTGCGGCGGAAAAACCGACACCGTCGCCATCCCCAAGACCATCGCACGCGCCATAAGCCATCCGACACAACTACGCAATCCACACGCTGTCCCATCATAGTGAGCCATCGCTGGATCAATCGCAATCGCCCTTCGTGTAGAGGAGATATTATAGTTAGCCCAGCTACCTTTAGCTTTTGAATATATTAATTTTTAGTCTGATCTATGTGGTAGAGTCTTGCTGCAGTTATATTAGTAGTATAGTTGTAGCACGAATGGATCGGCTCGGCCGGGGAAGGACCACGCTCTCACAGAATACTAGCGTTTTACTTAATTGAAAAGAATATTATATGATATATTATTTATTATAAATAGATAAATTAATTAAATACACATTAGCAAATTACTACTTACGTCAAACTAAATTATAAATTAATTATATTATATTATGATATAGATATTATTAGATGGGTTTTGTTGTTTTTTATTTAGATTATTGGAGACGTAAAATCAGATAAAACACCAAAATCACCGAAAAAAAAAGAAATAGCTTGAGTGTTATTAACAAATATTATGAATTTACAACAAAAGTGCTCTTCGAAATGTGATACACAAAATATATTTTCAAAATGAAATATTATTTAAAATCTAAATCTAAATGAATTGTTAGATAACATCAAAAAAGGAAGATTCTGATTGCCCGCTTATTCTAGAACGACATAGTACAAAACACTAAAAAATTTGGGTTCTTTTTTTCTATAATAAAAGAGTTCTACCTCTTACAGTACATTATTTTAGTATAAAAGCTGTATATCGTTTTTTGGCGACGACATAGTTTTTAAGATTACAAGAATTATATAATAATTACTTTATTTATAAGTTATTGTGCATAATATATTTATACTATATCCAATATTGTTTTATTAATATTCATTTATGAAATTATTTATATATAAAAATAATTAAATTTTCTCCACAGTAAATTTTAGATGTATTCAATATGAACGGGCATTTACAATTTCAAAACAAGAACAAAGGCGTTCATTCCACTCCTAACAATGACCGATCTCACTCTGTCAATATCGGAAATGTGCCAGAGACATACTCAGTACTCATTTGTTTAAAAAACAGACTATAGTATGAGGCAATCCATGGGAAATGCCCACATTCAGCAGTGGCCTATAGATAGGCTATAATGATGAATCAAAAATGAAGTCGCTGCCACATAGAAATAAGAAGTGAGGAAAGGGTTTTTTTTTAATGTGTATTTATATATGTCCATTACCCATTTCAGTCTACAAAAGTACACAGCTGAACATAGGCCTCACCCAAACATTGGCTCTTAAGGGGTGTTTTGCCACCGTTGCCACGCTCGACAAGCAGATTGGCAACTGCAGGTTTTTTTTAAATAATTTTGAGTTGTTATCAGGAAGATGCTGCTGGCCATCTCCTGTCTCAGTTCTCTCTGTCGGCTCTCACGTACTCGGTAAGTATATATATATATATATATATATATATATATATATATATATATATATATATATATATATATATATTGGTTTTGAAACTTTCTGTAGGCTAAACGGTTTCGCGGTTTTCTTTGATTTGTCTCAATCCATAATCTATGGTAAGAGCTTTCAATCGAATTTCCAGACCGAGAGCAAGCAATGTGTTAAGAAATTCGACTTTTACATAAAGCTTGTTTGAAGCGCATTCTGACGAAATTGTCATTATTTGTGTTATTATATTATGAATCACTGTAGTAAAATTATTCGCTTTTTGACAATAATTGAATTGTGTATGACATAAACTAAATAGTTTGTTTAAATACTTTAAGACAATGAGTTTGATGAGTTATAGTAGTATGGTATATTTACCCAGTGGTGGAGGAGCGTGGCTGCTGATAGGTCTGTGGTAGGCCCATATGAGGCTGGAAGACCAATGTGGGGTGGTGGTATACCACGGGGCCAGCCGTCCCACCACTAGTGCCCGCTAAATATGGCTGTTGTTGTCTGTGAAAGAGCAGAAAGTTAAAATTATTAATTATTAAGATTTTATTTTACTATATAATTGATAGAACTTCATTTGTGCCTGGAAATTTCAAATACTAAACAGCTTGTTTTTGGTCCTCACGTCTATTTGGCATGACGGCAATACGGTAAAACACCGTCAAAATTCGCCTAAATTTGTTTGTAATTTATGGACGTAATTTTTTTTCCTTAAATTATTAATTGGGCACTATCATGTTCTAGTCTAAAGGATGTGAGATAGTGACCACTGTCGTGTTTTAATCTAAAGGATGGAGGAGCCAGTTAACTAAAGGCTGTGAAACAATTTATCCTAGACCTAGGATTGAAACGCATCTGCTTACTTTTTTGGTCGAAGTGGACCGTAGTTTACCATGAGCTGTAAAGGCCACTAATCATCAGGTGAACTTACAACTCGTTTTACTACTCTAAAATATAAAAAATACAACACCAGAAAAGCTTAGCTATACAAATTAACCAACCATACAGCGATACGTGTTTCGCCCCAAAACGAGGCATTAATGTTTTTATTGATCGTAATGGAAGTGAGAAAACTCGCAAAATTACACTATTATTACGTACAGTTCGAAAGCCTAGTACTGCAGTTGCAAATTAATAATTTGCCATTTGCAATGGTGTCAACAAAACGATCATAAAAAATAATGATCTATTTCCAGCAATGGAAGCCTTACAAAAATAAATGAATTAAAACATATTATAAAGAATTGTAAGAACTTAATCAACTATAACTTGTACTGGTAAACATCAAAATAAAAACTTTTCAACAGTCGAGCACAAAGTAGACAAAAGGTTGTCCATTTTTCACCTGACTATGTATAGAAATTGAATAAATCTTAAAATTCAGCTAACTGAATTGTAATTTAATTACGCTTATCAAAATGTAAAAAAAAAAACGCAGGAGAAAACATTTTTTAGTTTTTCTACGTCAAGGGTAAACGTATTACCTAAAACTTTGTCAACTTATTGCTTGCACTTGCGCGAAGGTTATAATTTATTACAATTAACTTACAATAGTGGTGCGCGTTTCGTACCGACAAATTAATTTGATAGTTATATATCATTCAACTTCAATGAAAGTTTTATCATTCCCAATTAAATAATATAACTCTTCCAAAACTAAAACGATATTTACACAAATGTTTATCGAGCGGCTAAAACACGCCGGGTAATATAAATATTCATTCCTGATTAAACAATATTAACCAATGCGCCGTGCACCAGCTATTATTGAATACAAGTGATTCTATTTTTTTCATTGCTGGAAAACTTGGCTATTTCATGATAACTCTAGATCTATGGTAGTGAACGTACGGTGCACTCGGGTATATTTTTCAGTTAGATGGTGACAACTCGTGAGAGTTATGCTATGTGGTTTTGATTCCCTGATTATACCACTTGTAGTAGTCCACTTGGACGGCGACCAACACTATCTGTAAATACTGTCAATTTTACAGCTCCGTGGCGCAGTGGCTTAGCAATGAAAAAGTCCCCGCACGGAAAAAGTACGTGTATGGCTGCCTACAAATAATCATTGTTCCGGTTCTATGTTTCTCACATATGTATATCGCGGGTCTGAAACCATAGGGGCGTATCTACAAAACCGTTACTGTTCAGGAGACACATAAAACTTAATAACTTTTCTTGTGAGTTAGCCACCTCGTCGTGTTTTTGCATGTTACATGTACACTTTAGTTACTATGGGATGATTAATTTAAAGTTATTTCCTCTATAACATTTGTTTTTGGTTCTATTTGGCAAGACGGCGATTCGGTAAAACTCCGTCAAAATTCGCCTAAACGTGTTTGTATTTTATTCATAATCCAAAAAAAAAAAAAAATTTAAAATTAAACAAAATGCTTTGAAATCAGATTAGAGATTTCCATAGAAAATAAAATTTAAACCCTTAAAAGAAACTTATAGTCATAAAAACCAAGCGTAATAAATTCTCTAAAACATAAAACAAAATAATTTTTTCCAAAAAACAAGAGCATAGGAAAAATTGCACAAGTGACGTAGGTAAGGATACTTAAAGTGACACCTCAAAAATTTGGTGGTTTTTCTATTTAACATATTTTTTTAAGTTTTATAGATTACAAACCAAAATTTTGGTATACGATTTTTGACTATATGACCTTGGATTGCATAAAAGGAAAATACGATATCATGTAATTTTCTCAATAGAAAAAATCGCAGAGTAGGCTCTAATTATTTACATTTCTCCATGACACCACAATATTTTAACGCGTGCGTGCGTGCGTGCGTACGTATGTGTGCGTGTGTGTGTGTGTGTGTGTGTGTGTGTGTGTGTGTGTGTGTGTGTGTGTGTGTGTGTGTGCGTGCGCGCGGTGTGTGTGTGTGTGCGTGTGCGTGTGTGTGTGTGTGCTTAAGGGTGTGCATGTGTGGCGTGTGGGTGTGTGTGTACTGTACACTCAAACATTACCGCGTCGATTTGACATGCAGCCTAGGTGAACTACGGTAACGGCACACTAAACTCGTCGATGGAAATCATTAAGTATTAAAGCGTCTTCATATATTTTGCATTCCTATTGTATCGCGACGATAAAATCGTTGTAATTTGTTACGATAAATTATGGAAGTGCCCAAGTTGTGATGATTATTTTGTAACTTAGAGCTCGATTACAAAACTAAAGTCAAATTTCGTACGTGGTAGAAGCCACGTTACAGCTACATTATGGTGTCACGAATTAGTAGCGTAAAATAGCAGTTCAATGCTGCTGTTTCGTATGTAGAGAACCGGTGACCGTTTCTACTTGGAAACGAGGCATTCCATCGTAGCCCTCTGGACAGCACATCTGCATTTTGATTCTTAATCTAGGATAGATGGGCCACAGCATCCAATTACCATCAGGTGGGCTCTGTGCTTGCTTGCCACTTTTTTTAAGAATATTAACAATGCTATAAACATTACTAATATTCCCCTTAACCACTCGTGGTAAGGAAGCTCAAATTGCTTGTGTTACGAGTGGTTCACGCCAGTAGTCGAATGGCGGATTCGAACCCACAACCTTTTTTGAGTTCGAGGTCCGAATGAAATATAATAAAAAAAAAATATTTTTCGTAGATTCGAACTCGCGCACACGGGCGAGGTAGACAGACTAACGCTCTATTTATTGGTCTATATGTAAATATATTTTCTTTATTTGGCATCAAATATACACGTAAGTTGCTTAAAAACCTGTTTAGCCATTAGAAACAGCATGCAAACTTTTCCAAATTACCAAATACATCTGATAACAGATTCTAAAAAGTCAAATATTATAAATTTAATTTATATAATTCACTGGCTGGTACTCGGCGCGTCGCTGCTACAGAATAAATTATTACGGAATTAAAACGTTGTTTTAAATTTGGAAGAGTTATATTGTTTAATTATGAGTGAAAATTATATTAATACATTAGAAATTTATTGATATATAACTTTTAAATAAATTTGTGTACGATACCCACGCCACCTAGTTGTAACCTTAACCTTCCCGCGAGTGCAAAAAATAAGTTGGAAAAGTTTAACCGCAGTCTTAACATACAGCGCATAATATTTACGCGTGGTTACTTACTAGTAATAGTTTTTACGGATTTTATCATAAAAACTAGTTTTATTTAAACAATCATTAGTTTTTAAATATTACATTAATATTTATTAAATCAATGTCATATAATTTAATGTGATTAAATCACTAAAGGTAATGCCATTAGAATACTGTGTAAATAGTAAATGTAAATTAGTGATAAAAAAGCAGAAACTTGGTTTCTGTCGTCGCTTGTCGTTGCACAAAGCCCCAGAAAATATGTCTTTATTAAATTATCTCCCAATTATCTATCAAAACCTGGAATCTTTTGATAAGCCGCGGTAGCTCAGATGATTAGCGCTCGCTGTAAATTTCACAGTACGCGAGCAAATCGGGTTCGATTCCCGCCGGCACTAATGAAATTGTTAATTGCAATTTTAAGTGCTGATTTACCACGTGCTGGCCACGAAACCAAAAAAAATCGAAGACGTGAAGTTCGACAATACGCATTGGGGCAGCGCGGCGGACACTTCCTTGCCCTAAAACCCTCTCAGACATGAGAGGAGGCCTGTGCCCAGCAGTGGGACGTATGTAGGCTGTAACTTTAACTTTTATTTATCAAAAAGTTTAAAATTCTAAATAAGCAAATATTGGATAACAATAATAAGGGTTATCATACTACTAATGAGTACATAATTGATAATGGGAATGAGATGATACCTTGCCGTTTGTAAATATTTTCATATTTAATTGTACATGTTATGTTGTAATTTCATCTTTGAAAAGTTTCATAGGGTTTCTAGATCATTCATGACAGAGGCTTTTCTGCGAACCATGGAGCATGATTGATTCCTCACTATGGAATTTGGACGTGCTAAGCATTTCATTTTAGGATATAACTCCGATAAGCGGAAATGGGGTAAACACCACCGTCTAAAATGATGAAGTCGATATTCTCTATCTAAATATATAAAACACAAAAAATGTTTCCACCTATGCCCATTTAGACTTTGAAACCATTCGAACAATTTTGATGAATTTCGTTGTGCTTGTTGGAATGGGTCCCTAGATGGTTTATATTTACATTTGAACGGTAGGTGGCGCTGTTGACGATACAGAAATCGCCAGTACTAAGCCGGGGATGATGGAGGTATCACTTGTTACATATATACAAACTAGCTAAATAACTTTCAAGTTAATAAATAACAAATTGTAATAGATAAATTTTGTACAGAATAAACACTATATAAACTAAAAGGCTAATATTATCTGATTATAGCTTTCATAAAACCTACTTATATTAAAAACAGATATATCTCAAAAGACTATCAACGCCAGCTGTAAGCTTTTTGTAAGTAGCTTACTGTGAAATACGCCTTTTATAATATTTCATTACAATTATAGCGTTTACCGCCCACTATTTTATTTCAAGTCACTTGCTTTGACTTTGAGCGAAAAATTATTTAATTAATATTATTTCATGAAAATTGCTCTTAAGATTTCGATTAATGTTTTATTACTCCAGTTTATCTAGATAGGTTTCATCTCTTAGAAAATAGCAATTTTTGTTTCTAATGCCGAGAAAATTAGGTCGCCAAGTATTGATGGTTAAAACAAGTCACGTGTTCCGCCCCCATAAATATGCACACATAATTAGTTTAAAAAAAAACAACTATCGGTTATTGCATCGTGTATTATTTTAATTGTAAGGGTGTTTATGACATTAATATCTAAATATCATACTGTTTTAATCGAAGGACTTACGCAGAGAGGAACAAAAGAAATTAATGGAAATTCGCTCGCCACACCTCACAAAGCGTGACAAAAGCACTTATCGCTCAAAGCGTGGCGGTGCACATTCAACCGTCAATTCTCTCGTGGTGCAATGTGTGTTGGACAAGCATATGAAATTACATTGTATTTTCATGCAATTAAGGCTCAAATAAAGAATTTTTAAATCCACCACGTTTCACGGCTCGTGGAGATGATTTTTTTAAGAACTCTATTTCACCTGCAAAAAGTAAGCGACACACCTTTCGTCTTCGGCATGTTAAAGGAGGTAAGAAGAATGAGCGCTGTTCCGTATTTGGAGGTAATACTTTTGTAGTTATTTAACACGCAGATGGTTTCATACCAGCGCGAAGATCTCGGTTTTGTTCTCAACATACGACATAATATGTAGTTATGAAAAATCTTTCAAAGAACAATGGCCATTATGTACTAGGATAAAACGAATTGTTACAGACCTGACACTGTCACTAAAATGTAGAACATTGTCAATTTAATTAAAGGATGATATCCTCAATTTATTTTAAACGCTGGGGAAATATAAATTATCATCTTTAAAAATATAGCTTTTCTTATCAGATAGCAGTATAAAATATCTTAGTATTGAATGCATCCCGTAATTATTTACTTTCCTACACAAAGAGTATAGAACTACATTTTACTAGAGAAGTCCGTAAGTACCAGAGTATATTATAATCTAAAGAAAAGTACCATGTGTTACTATGTTGTATTTATATTTTTTCAAAATAATTTTCAAAATACATTGATTGCCGTTATTTGTTATCTTAAATAGACAAATCAAACGACATAATGTGTTTCTTCAAGCTACGTTTTATTTTACTAATCAGACAGTAGGTACACAGTTGAGATCATTGCTTATTACCTCATATTGAGTCGAAATGATAGTGTAGAGCGTAAGATAGTTTGATTTATTTTTTATATAATCTTGATTGATAATGATATTTGTTATTATTACTAATATAGAAAACGATTTATCAACATTTTGACTAATCATTAATTTCCTTCATTTGTGTATGTAGAAATAGAATTGTTTTTATTTAATATCGTAGATTTAGTATAAACTGACAGACATTGACTGACTAGAAAAAAATGGCAATGCAAAAGAGAAAGAGCATAGTTTTTAAGCATTAATGTAATACTAACCCATGGACCTTTGTTGTCTGAAAAAATTAATTTGAAATTAAATTGAATAGTGTACGCGTTTGCTAGAGCGAGAAAGGTGTCCTATACCCATTCACGTACAGGCTATAGGCCTGTATCAAATAAATCCCGCTTGTATTTGCTATCAGGTTTTAAAGTGAAATTTAGTGTTTGATAGATGTAATTAATTATGACTAGGTGCGTAATACCTAGATATAACTCACCTCACAAAGGAATCCTACATTATTATACATTTAACCCGTAGGTAGGATTGAAATGTTAAGCAGTTTAAATGCTGTGTTTTAGTCAGGGTACAAACAATTTGTACTTAAATGGATAGGAAAGAATTATCACATTTTATAAATATCATCTGAATGCAATGCAATTGAATTTCAAATAATTACAAATACATGAAATCCCACTAATTTTAACCTCACTTTTATAGAGATGGACATTATCGATAATATCTTATCGAAATGTTCTTAACAGTCAAAGGTTACGTCTTGCATGCAGGCTTATGAAAAACCACTAAGTAATATATTATTTTTTTAATTTTTAGAGTAAAAAATTAGAGTGACAAACGAGCACATAGTCCACCTGATGGTAAGTGGATTCTGTGGCGGATTTTCACAAAATATGGATGTTCACCAAAAATGGTTGAAAATAATAAGATAAGATGATTTGTTTGTATAATTAAGAACGAACTTGCAAGAAACTAATTATCAACACAAAACAAATAAGAAATAGCTATATCATCCATAAATTCCTCAAGACTACAACAAAAACTTAATTTAATAAAGGTTTTGAACTTTGGATAAGTCAAATTTTGTACTGGGAGATTTTCACCTATGTACTGACTCAACACAATATCTCTGGAACCATAAGGCTCGGAGACTTAAAATTTGGTAGGAATATTCCTTTCGCCGAGTAAAGGTCATCTAAGAAACAATTACGGTAGTCCAATCAAAAAAAAATCTTGATATTTTATATCCGTGCGCACAGCGAAGCGAGCGGATATCAGCTAGTTCCAGACATACTGAATGACATTGCCTTATTGCATTCGTTCAATTAATTACGTTTCAACACGAGTTACCACCACGTGGTAATATTAGGTCGTAAATAATATTTTTCAATGTAAACGTACCTGGGATGTGTGTTTGGGCGGGTTCCGTGCTGCGCTCTGTAGGGGAAGTTTGGATACTGCGGTCGTGCTTGCGCATTTTGACTCTGCTGCGAGACGTAATTATGGCCGGCCTGCAATTATATTAAAAAAATGGTTGGTAGGGATTTTTTCCAACGGCTCGTTAATAGCCCTCTTTTGGACTTTGGCCTCCATAACAGTAAAGAGGATTCGTCATGATCACTGAACTGGACTCTCTTCTTTCTCACAGACTTGGTATTTTACATTTAGTAAACAGGGCATGATCATATCGTCATTTGTCGGTGAGACCATAAAATCTTCATGGATAGTTCACACAGCAAGTAGCGTGGTTGTTTTATACGTGGTAAAACCAAGCAGCAGCTATATCATCGTTGTAGCACGAATGAGACGGCTCGACCGCCGTGAAGCCATCCTACAGGAGAATGCCAGCGTGAAATAACAGTTTAATGATGTGTTTGGTATAGTGAGTGTAGATAACCGGATACCCTTTTTACTGGAAACAAGGCATTTCATTATAGTACTCAGGGGAGAAACCACATCTGTTTTTTTTTTAATTCTCATTCGAGAATAAATATGTAGATGTCTATGTACCTCAGCATCCACTCACCAACAGGTGAATCGTTTATCATCGTTATTCTATATTAAAAACGATTAACAATTTCATATGACTTTCATGTTCTTTCTATTATCATCATCCTTACAGCCCTTCAAGTCTACTTTAAAACATAGCATCCCTTAAGGAATTCCACAAAGCACAGCCCTGAAAATCAACGGCAACTTGCACCCATCGATTTCCTTTATGTCTTACTTGGTTGCCACCGTATCTAGATGGTGACCGCTCTACACTTTTTTAAAAGTACTAGTTTTTGGTTCTTAAAGCTATACAGGGTTATTTTTCAAAGAGTAGCCAAATTTTAAACTTAAGTTCAAATATATAAATAATGATATACCGTTATTGCATTTTTTGAAAATACGAATAAATAAGGCTTCTACTTTTATATGAAATTATCCCAAATTGAACCAGTTTTATGGGCAACAACGTTTTTGCCTACCGATCGATTCTTACGAATGCGCGCAGTAGAATTAGTTAAAATAAATCATTACCACGCATTTTGAATTTAAAATATAAAAAGACAGAATGTTTGAGATTAATTTTAATTAATTTTTCTTCATCATTTACCTATTTTACTTATTCTGAACCTTCTCAGCAAATTTCGCCGGTTATTTCAAAATAACCCTGTATAGTTTCAATGACTTTTACAAAGTTTACAGCAGTTTTCGATACAAGGAATCGTAACGAAAACTGCTTTACTGCCATCGTCTGACAAATTAGTTTTCAAAAAGGGTTTATTATTTTTATATTCGTATTTTAAACGCGTAGAAGTGTTAGCATTTTTCAATAACTGCCTAATTATTTCACAATTGAACTACAATACAACATACGGTCTGCGGCGGCGAAATGATAATAGTATTTTATTTGGACCTTTAACAAAAACAAATGTGCTAACTGTGCTACTTGCCTAGTAAGTGGTGGAAGCTTAAATTAGGAGTCAGGGACATTTATTTGTAAAAAAAAGTTATTGGTGAAATAAAGCAATTATTATAAAATGGGAATGGGATATCGAACTTTTGAATGTGTAGAAGATGGGCTACTCAGCAATCACTTATTTCTCAATTTTTTAAACCTATTTTTGGCTAAGCGTGGTCCGATTAGCACTCTGCTTTTGCGACTGCTACCCCCCGGTGATTACAGGCGCGCTATGAATCACTTTGAATTTTTAGGTAATAATATAATGATTACGTGTAATATTGTATGACAAACATATATAGCATTTTAAAAATACCCTCTTTCTTGCATAATACACTCGTAATAAAAGCCAACTATATACATTCATTATAGTTTATATAGGAACGACAGTGCAATCATAACGCAATTTACACGTTGCATAATTACAAGATACTCGTAAAACTCGCGATACTATCCATACCATCTGAATGATTGGCGTTCCACCATTGTGCGAATAACAAGAAGTGTTCTTCCTCGCACAACTTCCTCGTGGAATCGCCTACGGCCAGCGATTTTCCAAACCGATACGACTTAGGGAGCTTCAAGAAAAGAGACTACTCTTTTTTAATAGGCCGGCAACACATCTGCAAGCCTGGTGTTTCAGGTGAGCCGCATGCTAGTTTGCCTCCTTTTATATTAAAAAACTACGATTATGTGTTTTTATGACCTACATATTATGGTTCAGAAATTAACTACCCTTAATATGCTGCAGGTTTTATGGAAGGTTCTTTTTATCGTTCGACATTATGGTAGTTTTACTAACTTTTACTATGTACTGCAAAAAATTACATACACGCACATAATTACTAGCGGTATAAGGTCTTGCTAACAAATCGACACGGTAGCTACACGTAGCGGTAGCACAGGGTTTGATTCCCGCACGGTGTACGTTCTATAAATAATTCTGGATCTAGGCGCTTGTTCATATGAGGGCTAATAGTTTACCGTTCACAAGATATTGCTGGTGATGATTTGGTACTGAGGCGGTCATTCGTCACCCACCCTATGAGAAATTTTGAGTTTCGAATAAAAGTTTTTCGGTTAATTAATATAAAATATAGCTAATATTTCGAAAAGAAACATTTTTCTAATAAACAAACTTCACCCGCTATGAAAACAGTTAATTATTTCACCTGACTTAAGTAACTTCGCCCTGGTGGCAGATGAAGTCGAGGATGCCCTTATTTAATATGATGAATAATAGTAATTCGTGATATCGTATAAGAACGCCTCACAAATCCGTTAGAGTAATACACATTAACCGCGTTCTAATAACAACTAGAAAGTAAAAAACTACGGTTGTCAACTCGCCTGGCATGCCATGGCAACTATGGCAAATATCCCCCACAAAAGGCATTCATGTTGAGAAATACGAGGGTGGATTGAAAAGTACTCCGCCTAACCAAGAAAATAAACACATACTAAATCAGTTATATTTTTATTTTTCTACATAATCACCATCAAGTTCAATACACTTTTGCCACCTTCCCTTCCAAGCATTTAGACCGTTGAAAAAAAAATGATTCTTCCTTAGAGTCAAAATATGCGTCTACAGCTGCTTTGACCTCGTCGTTTGTCGAAAATCTTTGACCTCCCAAGTGCTTTTTTAGGTTAGGGAACAGAAAGAAGTCTGATGGTGCCAGATAAGGTGAATACGGCGGATGCGGTAACAGTTCAAAGCCACAGTTGTGAATTTCAGCCATTGACTATACTGACGTGTGAACACGGGCGTTATCTTGATGAAACAGGACTTTTCTTCTGAGCATTCCTCGACGTTTTTTCTTTTATTTCCTCTCGTAAACGACGTAGTAAGGTGCAGTAGTAATCAGAGTTTATAGTCTGACCCCTTTCAAGATAATCAATCATAATCACACCTTTCGAGTCCCAGAATACTGAAGCCATCACCTTATTTGCAGACAAAATCGACTTAGCCTTTTTAGGGGGTGGTGAACCAGGTCTTCTCCACTGTTTTGATTGTTGTTTTGTTTCCGATGGACAGTAATGAACCCATGTTTCGTCCATAGTAACAAAACGATTCAAAAAATCATCTGCATCGGCTTCAAATAACTCCAAACAATCGCGTGAAATAGTCAATCGCATCCTATTTTGTTCAACTGAAAGCAGTCGCGGAATCCACCTCGCAGACACCTTGTGGAAACCCAACTCGTTGACAATGATGTTTTGAGTTCGTTCATAAGAGATGCCTATAATCTCGTCTATCTCTCTAATTTTTAATCTGCGGTCTCCCTTTATTAAATCAAGTACTTTTTTAATATTTTCGTCAGTAGTTGACGTCGAAGGCCTTCCAGAGCGGGGTTCATCTTTCACACTCTCTCTACCACGCTTAAATTCTGCTATCCATTTTTTGACGGATGAATATGACAGAGCACAATCGCCTAATGTACTGACTACGTCATCATGGATGGCTTTTGATGATAGCCCCTTCTTATGGAGGTACTTAATGACGGCACGCTGCTCGATTTGCTCCATTCGCGGAAATTATGTCCGATTACTTTGTTAATAAATTTATAAAATCACAACTAATTATCGCACACGTTTCGAACTTCACACAATGAACTAGTCTGAACTGAACTAAATAATGTGGGTAGATTTGATTTTTAGAATTGAATGGATCTGTGTTAGGCCGAGTACTTTTCAATCCACCCTCGTATGATCCAGCAGTCGACTTTGATTGGTTGTAATGATGATTATGATATTGAATCGTGTTATCTTTGAAATCTGTAGCCCGAGCGGATGTGACGGATTCTATTATCATCACATCTTAATAGTATCAGATTGTCACCGATAGATGTCGCTACGTCCGCAACAATCAAGATCTCAATGCAAGAGTATTGTAATTGGCGCATAAGACGAATGCCCTTAGAAAAATGCCAAGCTCCGATATTGATTTTATGCTGAGTACGTTTAACACACGCGGTACAAGGACACGTCTTTGTTCAAGGAGATACGACGGCCGCCACTATTCGCATTATCAAAACGATCGATAATAATTGCAAAGGGTAAAAGCAGAACTTAAACAACTATAGTCAACCAAATCAAAAAATACCTTTTGACGTTTCACATTAATCATTCAGCAATAACTTTGCACAAGCGTACTCACACGATTTAAAATAACCTTTTACGTAAATCCGAAGAATTATAAAATTGTATATATTTCATTACAACGTGTATAGTTTTTTATCACTAAATTAAATTTGAATCTTTCAAACAAAGAAAAATATTAAAAAATAATCAGTATAACTTTTTGTACTTGACGTCGTTTCAATGATATGTCGCTATGTTACATTATCGTAGTGTTTGGATAATTATAATTAATCGTCATGCGAATAATCGGCAAAAACATTCTAACAATCGGTAAAATATTCAAATAATCGAACAATAAATTTTTTAATGTAATTTTTTTTAATTTAATTTTAATTTTAAAATGCCTTAAATTACATGAATCATGAATAAAACAAGTTTATTTTTTTTAATTTGTCAACGTAAATTTGTGTTGGCAAAAAA